GGTCATCATTTACAGCAATTTCGGAATATCAAATTGCTGTAAATGATGACCACAACAAAATAATACAAACTCGAAAAGTCAAACCAATATATTTCACCTACTTAACGAGTTTTGTGAATGTTAAACACTTGAAGTCGTAAAAGGCACTCACCAATTTTTCCTAAGTTAAGCCTAAAATTGGAGTTTCGTGCAGAAGAGGGTGAAAATGACCACATGGACTAGTAAAAAAAGAGAAAAATCTGGTTTTACAACAAATTGCGGGGTATCCCAGTACATTCCGGTACATTATAGTACATACAGTACAGTGCAACATACACTAGGAAGTTCCGGGTATATCCCAAGTATCTGCTAGCTGTTTATTCGTCCAACAAATATAGTGCACTTTTGCTCAGAAGTCTTCTTACAGACTTCCAGACGCGCCGTATCCACTTTTGAACTGCTCATGAAGATTTTAGAAGAGTTCTGATTCTTCTTTGCCAGGCAAAGAACAAAGTGCAGATCTAGTATTGAGCTCTTCTGTGTTGTCATCCATACAATAAGCACGGACAAAAGAGTGAGAAGCAAATACTTCAGAAGGGCCAAACGTAATCTCACTAGTCAACATGCAAAATGTATCACAGAATCCTCCAAATGCATCTTTTGCAGGAATGCAAAGTACTCTGCTAACAACCTTCTTCTTTGCCAGCTCCCTGATTGCAGAATGGCCTAGGGTAAGGTCGTTGTCATCGGAGACAGCGGTAGACCCGAACACAACCAGCAAACACAATGCTGCAGGAGAATAGTATGCATGCGACTTGATGGAGATCACCAGAGGAGCAAAGTAATGTTTCCTTTGTCCTGACAGCTTGATGGGAATGACAAGGTCAATAATAGGACAACCAGGGAATACGTAGAAAGCTGTCCCGCTTGCCTACATGTATGCTAGAAAATCCTGCGAACAAAATCCTTCCCAGTCCGCTTCACAAGCACGCAAATAGTTTCGACAAACTTGAATAAAGCTGATGCTAGCCTCCACCTCAACTTTGTAAGCTTCATCCATTGTTTCGTCCACTTTCTCAGCAGTCAATTTCTGTTGGGATATGACGAAATATGAGTTTTTACGTTCCAAAAAGAAACTATTCAAGTACAACGTTTTTGACACGTACGATCGGACTTTGATCGTGATGTCGGGATTCGACGCAAGTATGCCGGACGCAAGTCTGTCGGACAATCTACATCCACACAAAAAGGGAATGACCCTATACAAGTGAGATATCAGTGTTGTGTACAATGCAGTAGGGAATAATACAAGATGTCCCAAAGTACTGCATTCAACACAGAATTGTCGTAGAGGTCGAATCAAGTTCTGTAAACAAGGGATTTTCCAAGGGAAAATTGTTGAACTTACTTTTGTGATTGAATCATCAATTCAAGCCAAATATTAATCAAATAGGAACAATTTCACTCAAAGTATACCTAGACACAGGAGAACTATTGTCGTGAAAGTATTGTACAGTCGACTACGAATTTCGATTGCAGAGAGTTTGTTCTGAGCGCTAAAGGCACTCACAATAGAGCACATTTTGCTTTATTCTAACATTCAATCACAAAAGGTAACAAAACAAATTTATGTCAAGAACAGCAAATTTATGTCAAGAACAGCACTGCCTTATCTACAAAGGAGTGAGTGATTTGTTGACGATGGGACGTTCTTCATCCGGTGGTGGAAGAGGACGTGTGACTCCTCAGAAAGTCAAGAGCAATTCGAGTTCAACAATTGTGAAACATCTATTTTCAACGAAAGATGAAAACATTGGAAAGGCAAGAAGATGCCGAAGAAAGAGTGATTGATTATATCCAAGCTTCTGGAATGAAATGTTCCGAAGACATGGTGAAATCAATTTGAGATAGAAAGTCGATCGACTTCGATGCGATCGCTCCAAGATTGAACGCTCCAACTCAAACTGAAGCTGTTGCAAGAGAAACAGAGATGACTCAAAACAAGATTCTCTATTCTGCAAAGCTTGAGGAGAACATGCGAAGATCAGCCTACTTCGAAACAAACAAGAGAACCGTCAAATCAAACATCATGCTGAAGTTTGTGACAAAGGCGATGGATATCAAGCTTCGAGGTGAAGCCGATTTCACGACTACTCTTGAAGATCCGATCAAATTCTTGAAATGTATTGAACGATTCATGAAGAAGAGTGCTGATGCTGAGTATGATTTCTTGGATTTCTGGAAAGCAAATCAAAAGTTCTTTGCTATGAAGCAAGGAACAACGGAAAATTTGATGCATTTCAAGTAACAATTCTTGAGACAGGCTGAAGTCCTGCAAGATCTATATGGCGTGGCCTGGTTCCGAGATTTTGCAGTCAAGACAAAAGCGTATGCTGCTATTGCTAGCACCAATACTGCTGCTCAAAACAAGTTCAAGGATGATATCTTTGAAGCAGTTCTTGCAACAGGATTTCTGTGCAACTGTTATCGAACGAGAACAGCTCCTCTGATGCTGGATCTTCAGACAAACTATTGCAGAGAAGTGGATTATTATCCAAAGACGGTCAGCAAAGCACAAGATACGTTGAAGATTCACATGGAAGTGATCAGCCAAAAAAAGGTAAAGGTAAAGGTAAAGGAAAAGGAAAGGGGAAACCGAAGGATGGAAAGAAGGCAGCATGTTATGTGTGTGGCAACAAAGATCATATGTCTCCAAAATGCCCAGACAGACTGCTACCAAAGATCCAAAGGAAGAATCAGGATCAATATGTTGACTATGGGAAGAAGCTCAATCTTAATCAGATTGGAGCAACTGTCCCAGCTACTGTTCCAGCTATAGTTCCTGGAGCTTCAGCATCCACAAGTGGAGCATCAAGTGTTGCGGGAAGTGTTAACACACCTTTGCGACTTGCTGGTACTACAGGTAATCAAATGATGCAAGTTCCTTCTGGAATGCAGCTCATGCAGATTCAAACTCAAGGTGGCGGCACTGTTACTGTCCCTTATTCTATGAATGCTAACGGTGAGATTGCGTTCAGTGGAATGCAACTCAGCCGACAAGGCTTCAGTGGTGCTCAAGTGCGCCAAGGATTCGATGCAACTCAAGCTCGAACTCCGCAAGCTGTGAAAACTGGATAGCTTGTTACATCAAATGTCTTTCACGATGCTATCAAGGGAAAGGATGAGAATGGCAATGATGTCTATCTTATTCCATGTCCTGCTGGTACGACAAATGTCAAACTTCAAGCCGGCTGGCACTATCCTAGTGAAGATGAAGATTTGCCTGATCTTGCTACTGAAGCAGATCGAGGTATGCAGTTTATTCAAAGCCGCAGAAAGGAAAGAATTCCATTTGGGTTGTACGATCATGTCATCATGGACAGTGGTTGTACAAACACCACCATTTGTAATGGTGAGCTCATGCATGGACTCCGCCATGCTGAGAAAGAACTTGACATGCACACTAATGTGGGCAGCAGAGTTCTCGATGAAGAAGGTTTTCTAGGAAGATTTCCACCTCCAGTTTATCCCGATGAAGATGAGATTGCCAATGTACTTGCTATGCGCGAGATGATTGCTGCGGGATACCGCATTACTATGGATACTGATGCTGACAATGCTTTTATTGTGCATTGTGATGGAAACAGAAAGATGCGATTTGTGAATCGTAAGGGTGTGTATGTGTTGGAGCAACTTGGAGCAAATGTCAAACCAGGTGCCAAAGAGACAAGTGCAATGTACCGTCGCCAGTTAAGCAACTTAAATAATCAACCCCATTTTGAACTTTCTTCAAACAAACAGAATGGAAATGCTGGACTCGAGATGACCTCCAAGATGGCAACCATTCAAAAGAACAAGGAAGGATTCACTCCAAGACAAGTCAAGGCTGCGATGGAAGCAAGAAGCGCGATGCACATACTCAATGCTCCAAGCACCAAAAATCTGAAGTATGCGATCCGATCTGGTCTCATCAAGAACTGTCCTATCACCGAAGAAGCGATCAATCATGCCGAAGCAATCTTTGGACCTGACGCCTCTACATTGAAAGGCAAGTCAACAAGACCAACT